ATAATTGCTCAGAAACAGCTGCCTTCTGGTAAAAGAGGGAGATTAAAAACTCAGGAGGGATAGTTCCAAATAGGTCTGAGAAAGGCAACGAACTAAACCCTTACGGCTGAAGAGAGGGATTCTCAGGCTGTTGGTGAGGTGTAGGCTGTCTTCCAGAGTGCCATTTTGTTTGGGTAAAACCCAAACTCTAAAGCATACCTGGGGAGAGACTCCCCTGGGAATCAATCTTTTCTTTAAGTCTTGTCAGCATCATTTTGAAAGCATGAAGGTGGAACCTGTGAACCATCCACACTTCAGAAAACGGAGACTTGTGAAACATTTGACAGATTGAAATGTCACTCAGTCAGGGCCCAGGGGTGTGTCATCTGCTGGCTCACTCGTGAAGGCAGAAGTTGCCTATGGGAAGACTGAGGCATGGGCCTATGATTTCACCAGTGAAGTAGTGATGGGAGACTCTCTTTTGGGATACTCCAGGATCATAAGGAGATCGCACTTAGCCAAGAAATGGGAAATCCTTCAGTGGGGATGCGGTGAAGGAAATGACCTTCATGTGGAAGGGTCGGTGGGACACAGACGACTGTGATGCTAATGATGTCATGTGATAAATATGTGGGGGGCATAATTGTGTTGTAGAACACGTGGGAAAATATAGAAAAGTGTAAAGATGGAAATTAAAATCACACATAATCTAACAACAAAAAGCACTGCATGAGTGTCAATTTAAACTGGAAATGAATGTGGAAACATGAAAATGATTGGTTTGTTAAAGTAGGAGGAAAGGTAATTCTTTTTCTTTTTTTTTCTTTCTTTTGATTTCTGATTTACAGTGTTTCTTTTAGTCCTTTTAATGGAAATATGTAGGTGAGAGAGAACTAAAAATATTGGTAAATTTTAGAAATTTTGAATGCCATTTTATATGTCGCTTTGTTATCTTCACTTTAAGCATATTGTGAGCCTTTCCCTTGTGAGCAAATAATTTTCTAAAACATGATTTAAATGGCTCCTTTGCATTCTATCAAGTGAATAAATCATAATTGATTCAAAAATTCCCCATTGTGTACATTGAGTTTGTTGCAATTTTAATTTTTATAAATAAAACTGTACTCAATATCTTTATATATCATGTTTTTGTGGATCTCTATTGCTTCCTTGAGAGAAATACTTTGAAGTCAAATCACATGATCAAAGAGTATACAGATTTTTCACGCTCCTGACACATATTGCTGGATTGTGTCTGAAAATATGAATTTATACTCCAAGTGGAAATGTTTATGTGGGGGCAGAGAGAACGACTGGGGACTGGGAATCCGTGGTGAGTTCTGGAGAAAGAGATTGGGGGACACTCTGAGAGGCGCCTAGCAAGAAAGGGAGGAGAGGGCATTCTCAGGAAAGAACCAAGGATATGGGACCAGTGACAAAGGAAGCAGTGAGCTGAGGCAACACTTCACCTTAAAGTGCAGGTAAAGGAAAATGATACATATGAAAAAATGTTCCTTGAACTCTTAAGGGCTTTACAAAATTTTTTCTAAGATAGCTTATTACCATACTAGTCACTGATGAGGACATTGAAACATAGAAATTAAGTGGCTTTCCCACCACCATACTAACAAAAGGGGCAGGACACAGATTAAAAATGATGCCTTCTATTCCAAATCCTATCCATGGTTCTCTACCCAACTTTTTCTATATCCTGAAGGAGAGAGCTTGGCCTGAAGTCACCTTTCTTTATATTTTGTGATGAAGCAGGATGCCTTTCCTCACCTTTAGGGTAAGAGAGGCTCTGACAAGGATGGCTGAAGTGAGAATGAATGAGACTGACCTATAACAAACAAGGAAGGGACAGTTTCTATGAAATGAAATGACTCTTTTAAATGCAAAACCCACTATTATGTCATTAAATATTATTGCTAAGCATAAAAGAAATTTTTATGAGTCTCTTTTCAAAAGCATCACTCAGCTCCTAGTCCAGATCCACAAATTGCAAGTGAGTGTGAGGCTGTGATTGACGGAGACATGACAATTATGTACGTAAGTGGCGGCAAGCTGAGTCCTCGGGGATCAGGCAACACACACTCAGGGCAACGCTCCGTCTAGGTGCCTCATTAAAACTAGTCTAATTTCAACACTGGTCATTTCTCCCAAACTCACCTTATTAAAATGGTTGGCAGAAATAAATGCTTGGCCCTAGGATTTCTTACATTTTTATGGGCTGAATTGTGCACTGAAAGCAAAGGAGAGGAAGAAGAACAGACTTGCCGCTTGCTGGGCAAGTTTGATTTGAATGGGTATGTAGATGCCAAAAACCACTCACTTATTATTGGAGGGCTGTTTCCTATTCACTCCAGGACCATCCCCGCAAACGAGTCTATTTTGGAGCCAGTATCAGCAAAATGTGAAGGGTAAGCCATCTTTTAGTCTTCTTTTTACATCAATTATAGGTGCTGGGGGAGGAGTGGTGGGTGTGGGGGTCAGAGTCTGGAACTGGAGCCATGACGCTAGCCCTGACTCTGACACTGTCTTTTTGATTCAGGGTAGGTACTTCCTGTTATTAGGCCTCAGTTTCTCCAAGGTGGGCATTGCTTAGAAATGGGAAAAGCTTGGTCTCAAGTGGGTCCTTTCCCACTTTTGCATTTCATACAGGAAAAAGGCTGGTTTTGCGTTCTTCAGAGGGTGGTCTCCGGGCCAGCAGCATCAGCATCACCTAAGAGCTTGCTAGGATTGTAGAATCCTGGGCTGCATCCCACACCTGCTGAATTAAAATCTACATTTTTATAGGACCTCCTGATGATTCATATACATATTAAAGTTTGAGAAATTATGATGTAGAATTACGTAGTGTTGCAACTTTGCTGTTAATTGTTATGGACTAAACTCTCTTCAAGTGAAAATACACGGTGTGGGAATGCTGATTTATTTCTGAGCTAATGTTTATGGTAGGATTCCTTTGGCTGCTAAAAAGGCTTCTGTCTCTACTCTCCTATCTTTAAGTTGTCATGTCAGGAAATGGGATCTGAATATGCTAGTGATCCATTATAAGAAAGGCAAACATGGATTAGCTATCTCTCTCTCTCTCTCTCTCTCT